GTCTATACCAAAGTTTTAGTCTTGATATAATCCATAACTTTGTAGTTGACAAGTTTTTCATTTAAATTTGTTTAGAGTCCCAAATATACATTTTAATTTCTAAGATTTTGAAATTCAAGATGTAGAATTTCCAAATGACTTCGAATATTCACATGGTTAATACCAAAATTGTAATGGTCAATCCAGATATACAAGTTTGTAGTTGATAAGTTTTTGATTTTAGGTTGTTTAGAGTCTCAAATATTTATTTTTTCTTATATTTTGATGTTCGAAATTTTGAATTTTTTAAACAATTTTATATAGAAGCATGCCCTATAGTAAAGTTGTAATGTTTGACAGATTAAAAACTTTGTAGTTGATTTTTTATTTGAGATTATTTACTTGCTAAAATATTCAATAATAGACGCGAAATGTTAATAAACAAAAATATCACTTAGTGTAGTTGTTCGATGCTGAGAAACCTTCATTTTTTTTGTTTTCTAGAAATTATTAATAGAGATGGACTTCTAAACACACTAAGGCACGGGGCACTTAAACTACTTACCTTTGTTAAATGATATACAAAGGTGAATAGACTAACCATCTCTGTAAGGGGCCTATTGAGATACTATTTGACTTTAGGCCCTCCACAATGGTATAGTGGTGCAAAAAAAAAAAAAAAACTCTGGGTTCCACCTCTTATTTCGGCATCGCTCTTGACAGGCTACAATGGTGGGTAGCACTCGCATCTCTTCATGGGACCCACAGAGCAAGAAAGAAGAAATAAAAAATAGATCACCCACGCCTGCAGGACTGCGCCAGGCACAAGGACGACCCACAGTACGTCGCCGAGTCCATGCTGCGGACAAAGAAAATACTATTTTATGGTTTGGTCACCGGTGAAAATAGTTGTGTCGCTCTTCATTTTTCTAGCATCGCTGGGAGTCGGGCCAGTTTAGTTCACTTCATTTTGCAAATTTTTTTAACATTTCTTGTCACATCAAATCTTTGGACGCATGCATGAAACATTAAATATAAATAAAGAATAAAACTAATTACACAGTTTAGACAAAATCCACGAGACGAATCTTTTAAGTCTAATTAGACTATGATTAAACACTAATTATCAAATAACAACGAAAATACTACAATGTTATTTCGCCAAAAATTTCGCAAACCAAACAAGCCCTTGGCTTCGCTTGCTGTAGTGGGGAGAGCGACGCCAGAATCTTCTCTCTCTTCTTTTGCGCATAACTTAAGCGATACACTGTAGAGAGCTTTACAGGATCAGATTTTTATCTCAAAATATTTTACCTTCTTATTTTTCAATACACCTTTCTATTCTTTAATATATTTTTTCTTGGCTCTATTTCTTTATCTTTCTCTACTTGTTTTCTTTGTATCATTTCCTTTTACTTCTTAATTCTCACGTCCAAACCTAAACCTAAAACATCAAATATTTTAGGACAAGGGAGTAGACCATTTGAGTACTGTGAATCGAAAAAAAGCATGCCTTTTGGTAGTAGTGCATCTCTTACTAGTTGTATGATCCTATCCAAACAGTACACGATACCAGCAGTTTATAGAAATGTCTTTCCTTTGAAATTCCATTGAAAAATATTAAATTACATGCTACATAAAATAACTCATTTAGTCCAATTAGTTGTAATATGTTATCAATCCTGTATTGTTTCATGAATTCGAGTGAGCACCGTTGCTTACTGAAAATTCTGAAGATTTCTGAGAATTAATTAATCCCTCATGAATCCGAATGAGTAATGTTTGTTAAATTGTGGATTTTCGTTGACCCCATATTCTACACTGTAAACAAAAGATTTTCAATTTACAATTCATCGTCTATCCGATCAGAATTTGTTCTGCTTCGGCACTCCCATTTTTATTTCTGGCACGAATCTTAAAGCAGCCCACCATTTAATTAATTATTTTCGTAATCAATTCTCGTCTGGGTTTTGAGTTGGCCCGGTCCTGCCCGTGTTCAGCCCAAACCCGCCCCCATGATCCATCCCCTTCCTTCCCCCCTCCCCCGCGCCCGTATGTAGCGCCACGTGAGGACCGAGAGCTTCGATACAGCACAGAGCTGAGAGCGGCGGCGGCCGCTCACCGGCAACGGCGGTGTCAACGGCGGAGCCATGGAGCTGACCAAGGACGGTGAGGAAGGCCCGCGTGAGGAGCTCCACCGAGATGAGAGCCGTGGCGCTCAAAGACTGCAGCGGCGGCTAGCCGCCAGTGCCACCGAGCTCACCGAGGCCGAGATGCTTCTTGGGACCATTGCTATTCTTCTTAGGTGCACCTTTGGTGGCAGCAACAGCTGGATCACATGCAAAAACAATTGTCCTATGGCATGTTTGGTCATTTTGATCAACCGGGCTCGGTCCATCATTGACATTGAAACTAAACTTCGTTTATTGGTTTCAGCCAGGACTTATCAGCCAACCTACAATGATTTTCTCTTACAATAAACCAGCACCAGTCAAACTTATTAGCCTAGAAACTGACCAGCGAACAAGGTGAGTGGTGTGTATGTGTATGTTGCTGCCAGGCCATCTGAGATTGATCAGTACTAATGTCTCCTCACTCTCGGCACTGAACAAAGAGAAAGATACAACAACTAAGTGGAACAGATCCAATGGGAGTGCAAAATTTTTATAAGTCACTACAATGCCTGGGTCATGTGGCTGGTAATCACTGCCTATTCGTGATTAGATAAAGTAAAAAATTCCGCCTCAAAAGTCTCATTCACTGAGCCAGTTCGATTCACCGGCCTGTCAGTCACCATGTAGTGATGGTACTTGGCAGTAGTAACTTACAGTGGAGCTCCTCACGCGGGCCTTCCTCGCCGACCTCCATGCTTGGTGGCGCCGCCGGTGACGGTGATCGAGCGCCACCGGTCGACGCTCCGTGGAACTCCTCACACGGCACTGGATATGGACGGGACGAAGGAAGGGGATCGGATCCGCGAAGTGGAACAGGGCAAGGAGCGGTAAATGCGGATCGGATGGATTATGGGGACGAGTTTGGGCTGGACATGGGAAGGCCCGGGCCAACTCGAAACCCAAACGAGAAACAATTACGAAAATAATTAATTAAATGGTGGGTTGCTTTAAGATTCGTGCCAGAAATTAAAAGAGAGGCACCGGAGCAGTTCCCTTCAAAGTATTCGTGTTTGGTTTATTCTGAATAGTCTTGCATAGTTTAAAGTTCACAATTCATGTTTGTTTCACCTGCTATATTATTGTTCACTCAGCTCAAGAGGTTTGCATAAAATTGTCATTGCTTTGCAACAACGCTTAGAAGCGAGGTGGTCCTCGTCGCGTAGCTTCACCTAGTTCCAGTGGATCCAAGATTAGATTATATAGTTGTCACATGAATCGTGATGATTTAGAGAGTAAATTTTAGAGAGACTTGAAAATGTTCTTAGATATAAAATGGAGGCCCAGGTTAAATCTCTCTCCACCTTAACTTCTTCTCTTCTTCTTCCTCTATGCGCTCGCACCCAACCCTGACCCCAATAAGCCACTCGCCCCCACCGCCAGATTGCTACCCTCCACCACGGGTCGCCCCTACAATCCATCGAATATGTCTCCTTCTGGCTGTCCTTGTCCATCTCTACCTGAGCTCCCTCGCTCAGCTCCGCTTTCTCCATTGTCGCCTACGCCCACCGCCATGCTAACTTGATGGAGGTTGTTGAGCTATCTTCGTCACATCCCCGCCCAATTGTCTTCCCCCATTGCCCAGCCAACGGTGCCACTGTTATCTGGCCCCACATCGCCCCCACGCCTGCCACCACCGCTGGACTGGTCTTCTCCCCCAACAATCCTTCTAAGCTTTGTCGGCTTCATGTAAGCCCTAAATCACAAATCTGAACTCCAACCTTGCTGGAGTTGAGAGAGAAGATCATGTGGCATTCTTAGACTGGGTGGAAAAATTCGATTGAGAGGAGACATTAAAATCACTTGAATGATATTTCGCTTTACTTCTTCTAAAAAGTGCATGTCGAGCATGCATTTTGGCCAAACATTCCTACTTATGAACCTTGTCATGTTAGCATGCGGCTAAATTCTTACAAAACATGGACCCAACTCCATACATGGCCATCAAGCTAAAATAGGGTGGCACAAAAAAATGTTTCTTGAATAAAACGATGATTGTGCTAGAATCCGGTAAGATATGGATATGAGTTCGAATTCTTTGGAAACTAGACTTGATAAGCTTTCCATAAAGTACTAGAACGTCCTAATCGAAATCCGTATGATGCCGTGGTGACCTGAATCCAACTTCCAAAACATGATGGATTTAGACTCTTTTAATTAGGCCGAAGTGATGTGGTGGCCTAGCGGAGGATACTAGGAATACTTGAACTTGGCCCCTAATTAACTTTATTAACTTTCTATATTTTCCATATGCAATCAAATCTTTCTTTGATCAATGTAAGTGTTTCTGATGAAAAGAAAAAAATACAAACTTTAAGGTGCAACGTCAATTCACAAATTCTTTTAAATACAAATATAAACTTCATATTGAATAGTTGGATCTTTAGTTTAGGAGTGGTTAATATAGTCGTATCTAATATAGCGGTGTTCTAATAAATACCTTAAAAACGTATCTGGCACGTGTGTTGTATAACGTTCTTGTTTTTTTTTTTTAATGATGAAGAGGGGTACGCCTATTTTTCTCATGCCTCATCCGGTGACTTCCATCGTCAAGCCGTCAACTGAAGCATCAGCATTCACGATGGCTTCCAATCCAACCGGAGTCCCAAATCCCAAGCAAGCCACAGGCTCACTGGACGGGGTTCAGGCGCCGAACACGCGGCCAGCCCACGCGTCCCTCCGTCCCGGTCCGAGTGCCGGCGATAAATCGCCACGCGCGAGCGGCGTCTCGCCTTTCTGATCTTTCACATCTCCTTTCCTCTCCCTTGGCAGACCACCTCCGCGGCCCCGTCCCACCCACCGTGGTTTCCGCCCGGCTCCGGCCGCCGCTCCCGCCCATTGGCTGCCGCCATGGACGCCGCAGGGTTCGTGCTCCTCGCCTCTCCCCCATCGAGCGAAGAATCGGCGTTTTTTCTCCCCCTCCTCTTTTTCGCCTTTTTTTTTTCTGTTGGTTCCGTTCCGACGGGTTTCTTGATCTCTCTTCGTCAGGTACCCGCACATGCAGGGGAGCGGGTCCGCCGCCTCCTCGTCCTGCCGCGCCGCCGACTATTCCGCCGGTTGGGACTCCGCGCAGCAGCAGAAGCGCCAGCGCTGCCAGGTAACCCGTCCCGCGCCCTCCTAACCCGCGCCTTTTGCACGGAGTAAATCCGCTCCGGTTGGTTGGTTCGGGTCGTTACCATCGCGATTCTCGTGCAATCGGTTGCTGTGATCGTTTTATTCCTCCCGGGAGGGTCTTCGAGTGCATTGCGACCGAGTATGGTGCGAGGGTTTTGCCTAAAGCTCCTTTCTTTGGGTCGGCGAAATTCGCACCTGGTGAGAGGTCCTTTGATTTTACCCTGCTTTTCCCCCCCTCGTGTTTCTGGGGTAGGTTTCGGTCGAATTGATGATTTGTGCTGGTTGGGTGCCGTACTACGGAATTTAGATGGATCGATCGTATTGACCGTAGGGTTTTGGGTTTTGGGGGCAATTTATATTGGGGGTACAAAAAAGTCTTCTTCTTCACGGTGCGTTGCTGGTGGGGATAGATGTTCTTCTTACTTTGGTGAAGCATCTGTTCCAGTATGTTGGATGCCGTCGTCTGCACTTGTATGTTTTGAGGTTTGCTTGTGGTTTACCTTTGAATCAGTCCTCATTACTCGAATTACATGTGTTGTAAGGTATGATCATAGCCTAGGTCTAATATTTGATTGACATTGTTTTGTGTAAGTTTCTACAATCGGACCTGTTCACCTGTACACGATTGATTTTTGTACTGGGAAACTTTTTTATCTTCAAGTTTGTATTTTGCCACAGATACTTCATCTGGAACTAACCAGTGTACTACGATTGATTTTTGTACTGGGAAACTTTTTTATCTTCAAGTTTGTATTTTGCCACAGATACTTCATCTGGAACTAACCAGTGTACTAAAGATACAATACAAAATCCTCCATACACATGTAATTGTCCTTAATAAAGCCTGAAATTGCATTCGAAATTCACATTGTTGTGCACGCTGTTGAATCTTACCGCTGCATTTATACACATTTGCATACCATCATCCAAATCCTACTCCTACATAAGGTCCCAAGTTAAGACGCTGTCACCAGAATTAACTTACTATGTTCTATTATTATAGAAAAAGGATAAATATACAGAAGAATATCATATGCTATATTTACAGCTGCAGGAATCTGAAACTTAGCTAGTCTGGGCATTTTGGTATGGGTTATTTATGTTGTGAATACATCAAAGTTTTGAGTAGCTGATTGGTTGATTTTTAAATTGCTGCATTGCCAACATGTTTTGCTTCTTTATTACTTGGAAATTTGGCTGTGATATGTTATAAAACGTATTAGCCATAGTAAGTATCACTGACAGAAAAGATAAAATCGACTAGGTGTTGGTTTTATTCACTGGGAAGAGGATAGTTTAAAATATGTTTGATACAAAGCAGATTGGGTTTGCTGATTTTTTCATTCCTATTGAATTATTGATCATACGTGCAAACATGATAAAACAGCTTGTAATGTTGTCCAAGCTGCAGATAGTGGTGTTACTGAATTGTGTAATTGAAGACTGAAAAATAAAAGGATCTCTGTTGGGGTTTGCTTATCAGTGCACTCCCACAGGACTCCTCATTTTTCAGGGTTTATCATTCCTTGTCCACAGTAGAAACGAAGATGTTAATGATTCTCACGCACATTCTCAGTAAACATTGAAAGAATCATAAGACACAATTCCTAAGTTCACTGATTTGCATTCTTGTAGCTACCTACTTAACTGTCCATTCTTGCTAGGAGGGAGTGCCCAATGTTATTTTTAACAGTGGGGTATGGTGGTGTGACCATGTGAGGTGTCATTCTGCGGTTCAACGCAGGAGGCAGTTATTGTACTAGTACATATCTTCATTAGAAATCTTATATTCTTGAAGACCATTTTTAGCCCTTCTACTTAAAGTTCTCAACATAATTGGTTTTAGGATCTGGTTGAAATTATTCTATATTTTTATGTAAAGAGTTACAAGGGACAAAAAGATGAACTTTTCCTAGAAGTCATATTACTGCTGGTATTAGCCTGGTAACGTTGGCTTTCATAATACATGGTATTGAGGTTATGTGCTAGGAGAAAAATATTTGCTTCAACCTAAACCTTATAGGTTCGCAGTGAGAGCAAATAGGAAGTTTCAGTTTACCATGTGTAAATGGCAGTTTCAGCATGCATGGTGTAGGCTCTAACTTCTAAGAGTAAATAATGTTGGTGCAAGATTTTACTAGATTCATATAATAATTTCAAGATGTAAATTGTTGGCGTGTGTTAAGAGGTACTAATATATTAAAATTTGCATGTGGATTTGCATCATGGTAAAAAATATCTATCTTTCAATATACATAACTTGCTAACTAATAGATTAGTATGTCCTTAATGTTTGGAAGACTGCTGATGCTAAGTGTAGTAAAAGGCTAGTTGCCTCTTACTCATGTAATGGGTACCGGCATGCTGAATATGTTTTGTGTTATGCGTCATAATCAGCTAATTTAAGGGATAACAGAGACAGCTAAATGTAAGAGAGAAGTAATTGCTTTGATATGTTCGATGGTTGCTTGAATATTTAACCAACTAGATGGCATGCTACCCACCTGGTTCAGCCTTGGAGGATAGAAAGCAAATCCTGTTATTAATCCAGTACTTAAGTTAGGGAACAGTACAGCACTACTGCTAACAAGTTTGTGCATGAAATTATCAGCGAAGTGCTGATTTCTAGGCCATTTCTTAACTTTAAAAGAAAACATGTATTTTTTAGTGAAATAATTTATTATTGGGTTCACAGGTTGTCATGTAGTCCTGTCCGCAGTCCTGGAACATTTGCATCTCCTTATTGCTTGGAAAGCTCTGAATGTGCATGCAATTTACATATCTGGTCTCAGGGCCCTGTTCGGGTGTTCTCCTTAATCAGGATTCTATGAGCAGCTGCTGAGAGAGGTGCTTTAGCTATTTGTGTTTTATGGGGAGTCAGAGGCCAGCCTGCTGGCTCTTCCTCATTAGTTATTAGTTATAGACATTGCTGTAGATAGCCTATTATAGCACTGCTATAGTTTTCTCAAGGGTCTCGATATGACATTGCCAATTGTCCCGCTGTTGCTACTAATGATGTTTTAGCTTCGCTATAAACACCATTTGATCGCATAACGCTATAACAATATGATTATATATGATACACTTCCATCTCTTATTTTATCTCTCTTAATTAAATAAGAATGCAATATAATGCTATCCCTTACCAAGAGTGCTTAATGGACCCTTAATCAGAGTCTCTAACTTCAAAGGAAACAAAATAACCGGTGAATATAATCCCAACTAACAAAATCCTTATATCCCCATGTGAAACCGTGAACAGTACCTACCATGCATAGTAACTGTCATTATGGCTGTTGGGTTTATTGGTTTATGTGCATTTTCTGTGAAATATCTTATGCAGCTTTTTTGTGAGAGCAGTATGGTGTGTTCATTCTTATCCTGCTACTGTGTTGGGGTTATGCCCTGATAAGTGTAGGCCATGTAACCATGGAACCGGTTTTTTTAAATGTCTGCATTGGATATTTGGTGTTGACAAGGCAATTAGGCTTTTGCAGTTGAACTTGTTTGTTGGCAAACATATATAGCAAAGTGCCTCTGCTGTTGTGAGAAGTACTTGACATTTTATTGATAATATTGGCACACAGGGTTCTTCTAATGATCAAGTTGGATCTAGCACAGAGAATAATTCTCTTGAAGCACCTGGATTTGAGCTAAAATTTGACTATGGAAAAAATGAGGAAGAAGATTACTATTTTGAAGATGAAGATGATGGGTGCTATGATGAGGATGATTAGGGATCTGACTATGAGCTTGAGACTGCTGACTAAATCAACTGCTAGCTGATAAATTGGATCATTTAGACTTGCCTCCAGGTGTGGAGGCTACAGTACCATGGTTGCAGAAAGTTGAAAGGGATGGGCCTGGAAAATTCAAGTCAATGTCAGAAATAGAGGAGGAAATTGCAAAGAAGTATAATTTTTTCAAGCAGTTTGATACCGTTGAGGATTTCATAGATCATAAAGATGCTAAAAATTCTGTCGGAAATGTAAGAACTTGGCACATATTACTTTTTTTTTGTTTGAAACCTTTTTCATCAATAAATCTCCTAACTGTTTCAGGCAAGGAAAGAATGGGCAAAAAGAATCCAGCACAAATGGAGTCTCCTGGAGAAGGATTTACCAGGTCAGCAATTTGCTAGAGCAATTGTGTCCCCCTTATTGTAGCAATGCACCTACCTATTCATTGACTATTCAGAATTTATAAGCTCCATACTTTCAATTCCTGAAACTCAGTATTTCACTAAGAAAAAAACTGCAGATTAAGTTCAAAATATAGTATTCCATCTGAATAATCTCTCTCTGAATTCATAACCTGAATTTTGTTCTGTTGTGCAGCATTAATATATGTTCGTGTCTCGGAAAATCGAATGGACCTTCTCAGGGCTGTAATGATTGGGCCTCAAGGAACTCCCTACCATGATGGCCTTTTCTTCTTTGATGCTCACTTTCTCCCTTCTTATCCTACTATCCCCCCAGTTAGTATTCAATCTTTGTCCGTTTGGTATGTAATACACTTCCATATTTGGATAAAAAAATTGTGCTGATGCTTTTGCAGGTGGTACATTATCATGCAGGTGGGCTAAGGCTTAATCCAATATGCTTGTGGAAAAGTTTGTCTTAGCCTCCTAGGCACCTGGCAGGGTAAATCTTGTGAGAAATGGAACCCAGCACAATCAGCAATGCTTCAGGTGCTAATCTCCATTCAAGCTCTCGTATTGAATGAGAAGCCATTCTACAATGAGCTTGGATATGAACGCTATGCCAATAGTGCTGAGGGACTGGGGTATGCCTTGGACTACAATGATACAGCATTTCAGTACTCATGCAGGACGATGTTATACTCACTTCGTAAACCTCCACAGGTAGTGTTTTGCTAATTCTTAAGCTTTTGCACTGTGGACAATTGAGTACTTAATAGTATATATATTTGATAGTCATCCATTGATAGCTGTGCTGATCTTGTAGTATATATCATTGTGCTTTTGTCAAATTGAAATGTGGACGCAGTCCAAGCAGGATTCCAAAATCTGTGGTTAAGTTACTTTTCACTTGTCGATGTTTTTTTGCTGAATTAGACACCCAAATTTGAGCTGAACTCTCATACTCGTATCTCTGTCCAAGTAATATCGGGTAGTAGGCTAGACAATTGTTTTCAGTTGATGCAGTGACGTCCTTTTTCATTCTTTCAGTTATCACCACAGTGTTCTCTTTCTCAGCACCTGTGCTCATGTCCAGTATTTTTGATAAATAAGGCACCCAAGTTCAAGTTAGATATTCAGACACCTTTGTCATCCAAATGAGCATTGGGGCTAACATTTTTTTTTCCCGTTGGTGTTAACATGCATTTTTATTCTCAGTTATCAGAACATTGCTCTTTTTTCAGCAATTGATGCGGGACAAAGAATCTTAGGTTTCATAGATCTAACGGTATTTGTGCCTGTTGATCTGTTGTTTCAGCACTTTGAAGACCTTGTCGTGGGCCACTTAGGTGAACGTGGCCATGCCATTCTGGCTGCATGCAAATACTACATGGAGGGCCATGAAGTTGGATCCAAAGTCCCGGAGGAGGACGTGGACACCAAAGGGTGTCAGAATGGGGAAGGATCCAGCTGTAGCACCACGGCAAAGCCGCAGCAAAATAAGCCTGCATTGCGCACCAATCGCAATGCATCCTTCAAAACCAACCTGGAGGTTCTGTTTGAGGAGCTCTTGATGGAGTTCAATGTGAAGGGTGCCAACACTGCAAGATTCCGTGCGGAGAAATTGAAGAACCAGCTGGCGGCTGCTTGAACTGAGTGGGCCTGGCAGTGGAATTCTGCTAACTTTTGAGGTTTCCATAATGGATTGGGAAACCTAAGGGGGTGCTTTTTCGCTTTTGGCTGACCATAGGAATGCTATGTAGATAGCTCTCCTTTCTTTCAGTTAACGGTACATGTCCTGTGTGAAGTTAAACCGAGAACAGTGGACGGTCTTAGATCCTAGTAATTGAAGTATCCACCCCAAATTGTGGTGTGATCTGAAATTGGCATCTATATAAATCGTCTTCTGTTATTTGCCTTTGAAAGGGATCCATGGCACCAGGTTTCATAATCAACCCGCCATGGAAGCTATGGGATGAAGCAGTGGTTTGTTGTTTCATTCATTACATTTTTCTGTGAAGCTACTTTGTACTGGTAGAAGTTATCAAGTGCAGGCGCTCAGCGTGCATTTGTGGTATAAAAATCTACGCAAGGTTAAACATACTACTACGAATTTTCTGTAAGCTCCGTCTCTAAGCGTAGGGTGCATTTGTGGTATATTGGTTCTTTTAGAGCAACCAAATGTAAAGTGCTTTGTCCATATCGGCCACGGGCGTTCCGACCCAGTCCTCCCTTCCTCCTGCGCAGCTGATCAGCCTATAAAAAAAAATTCCCTGACTATGGTATCCTCCTTAACTGCTTCGAACCCCTCACCGCACTGCACCTTCGGCCGACCCTGCCGCCGCAAGGTCCCGCATTAGGGTGCTCTCTCTTTCTCGCTTTCTCCCCAGCATGAAGCACTTGCGGCGGTGTCTCTCCCACGTGGCTGGCCCTTCCCGCGTTGCTTCTTCCCGTGAGGCACCCGGACTCATCCCTCGCTACTCGGTACGCCCGTGCCGCACCACCATCCAACGCCGCGCCCCCGTCCACCTAGCCCGTCATGAAAGGGGAGGCAGGGGAGGCCTCCGCCTACGCCTGGGGAGGCCTATGCCTGCTCATGTGCCTCCCCATCCACCTCGCGTCGACAGTAGGAAAGGAAGACCTACGCCACCGTAGTTCCCCACCACGTAAACCTTGGCCACTAGCAATGCAGTGTTTTTCAAGTGTTTTCAGCAAACCTATGTTTCAAGTGTTTGAGTTATTTTATATGTATGTTTTAAATATTTTATACGGATGTTGCAAAAGTAGATCGGGATGTTGCATATGTTATAATGCCTATACATGTATGCTTCAACTGTATGTTACAAATGTTTCATCTGTTCCAGACAAATGTTGCAAGTGTTTTATCTGGATGTTGCAAAAGTAGGTCTGTATGTTGCATATACATGCATATTGCAAGCATATATTTCAAGTGTTTTATACGTATGTTTGCAAGTGTTTTATCTGGATGTTGCATATGTTTGCAATGGTTTTCAAATGTTTTTCAAATATTTTCACAAGTGTTTCAGATGCTTGTTTCAAGTGTTTTATCTGTCTTCTTTTGTATGTTGTAACTGTTACATCCAGATGTTTCAAAAGTAGATTGGGTGTTGCACATGGGATGCTCTTTAGCTAAGCGGTTATACAGTGCCACTAGGTGATATGATTCTTGCATATGCATTAAGGACCTAGTGTACTAATGATTAACCCTTGTAAAATGCTTTGAAAAATGCTAACATACGTGCACACAAGTTCTACACTTTATGTTTAGCAACTTGGAAGCAAGGGTGAAGCCGTTGAGGAGATAGAAAAGAAAAAGGAGGCGCTGGACAGTGACCGGACACTGGCTAGGCTAGGACCGGACTCTGACCAAGCTGTGTCCGGTTAGTGCGTGGCACTTAGTCGAGGGCGTGGAGTAGCGATCGAACGCTGGACCTGACGCTGGGGTCGCGTCCGGTCAAACGCAGTAGAGGTGGCGCGCGGGTTCGCGATCAGACGCTGGAAGCAAGGCGCGACCGGACGCAACGCTGGTGCGTTAGGTCGCGGCTGACATAGGCGTCAGGCAGGAGCGGAGTAAGGACCAGACGTCGGGGCGCATCAGGTCATCGATGACCGGACACGTCCTATCGAGAAAAACGCGTTCAGGGAGCTCTTTATGTAAAAATCGCCCTAACTGGACTCTGCGTTATCGTGCGTCCGGTCACTTGAGCGGAGCATCCGGTCATCTGTTGACTGTGCGAGTGAACCGCTTAGTTACCGTTGGAGATCACCGCGTGGGATTCAAAGAGGGACACGTGGATGGCCGTGGGCGATTGGACTCTAGCCAATCGGACGCTGGGGTGCATCCGGTCAGTACGTCCGGTCAAGCCCCAAGGCTCCAACGGCTCTCTGAGTCTTGGGCCCTCTATAAATAGAAGTGCTTCGCCTTGGGCTCACTCTCTTAGATGTTTTGATCAGTGATACATCCTTGTGAGCCTAAGCAAACACCTCACACTCATCTTCATCGTTGATTCATTATTATAGTGAGACTAGGAGTGATTCACTACTACACTCGCACCTTTCATAGCCGCGTCGTAACCCACATCGCAGTCCAATTTCGACCTCGGCAGTAAGCTATCGGTAGTGATACTCATAGCCATCACCATCGGTATCTGAGACCGATTGGGGTGTACACTACACCGCCTTATTAGCTTATCATCCGTCCGTGATAAGGTCCTTACTTCCGTCGCATTGGAACACGACCCGCGTGTGTGGGTATGCACTAACACCGCCGCATGGCTTATGATCCGTCCGAGATTAGATCCTTATTTCATTGGAGCATGACCTACCTGTGTCGAGGCAAACATCACCATCAATTTAGCGTATGAACCATCTGGTCATAGGGTATGGTCACCGTCGTGTTACAGTACAATCCACCCATGATGATCCTTTAGTCGGTGTCGGGTTACTAAATGATTCGGTGGTGATGCACTATTGAGCCCTGCCGCATCAGATGAATAACGGTGGTGACGGCCGTTTGCTTCACCAAAGGTGAGTGGTATGGCGATGATGACAAAACAACCAACGGTCCTTACATCCGACGGTGACAGAATTGCATCTGGTTTTCACAATGTATTTACTAATTCAACTGGACCTTAATAACTTACTGAACACACACCATACAGATATAATCATTACACATCATTCATCATGTCCACAACGAAGAGTACTTGTTATAATAACAATGCTCCACACTAACATAATAACTGTGTCAACTGATGAATTAACACAAGCGGTGCATAGAGAGCATAATAAAGGTTCTTCTCCCTACAGACTTACGTAAGGTAGATGTGCTCTGCTCCTTCAGATTGGCACTCCTTGATCAGCTTTGCAGCCAATGCAGCACGGAACCCCTCTTCTTCCTCCCATAGCCATTGCAAGAAAATTGTTCAAAAGCACTGAGACTCCAAAACCCGCACAATGCAAAGCAGCAGAATTAATAATATTCAACATACCATTGGTTTAGTTACCAAGCCAAAATTGGACTATATATAGACTTAAAACAACTCGCTACCTGAACAAAGACATGTCCTAACAACAAAATACAACATATGCACCTTTACTACTCTGCTAATGACTCCATGAACAAGGGAACATAAGGCAGATAGTGAGGTCCGTTCAAATAAATACTCCAGGTACTTTTTGGATAGTGGACGACCCGGGCAGGGAGGACATGAACTTTTCTGCAGCTCATGTCATATGCCATCAGTGTTTTGTCCTCCCCAATAAGGAAAATCAAATTTCATTTTAGGTGAACTGCAATCACTTTGTAGTCTGCCTTGGCAGCCTCGGAACCGAGTCCAATATTGTTCAGTCCAAATAGCTGCAGCGTGTTCACCGTATGCTTCAATGTCCATTTACTAGTACCATAGTCTTCAAGGATCCAGATTGAAAGGTTAGACATATTGAAAATATCAGCAATACATAGACACAACTAACCCTGATCTCCATGGATAGACATTGTAGGGCCTAGTGGCCTAAGAATTTTCCTCCATGTCTTTGCCTCCATATCAACAGCAACTATGTGGGACACCTCCAACATGTGCATAAAACCATTAAGAAACACAGTTCCTGAAAATTTGCATACTAGAATATCCTCTCCCTATTCAGATTCTTTATACATTCATGCTCCAGTTTTGGATGAGTAGATGCTGACTACTAACACCCTAGGCGACCTTACCCACAATTGTACCACATGAGAGTGCAAGGAGATTATGGGATCGAACCCCAAGCGAGCTGAACCATAACAAAGGTTGCTATGTGGCAGTACCACTGATTTGCTAGTCACTGGATTGCAGACAACATAAAGAAGCCCAACTCACTAGCACAGAAAGAGGCCTCTGCAACAATTTGAGATGACTAAATCCTGAATGGGGAAGGGCAAGAAGGAAAAGGAGGGGTATTCATTGGTGAAGCTGGTGAATTGACGTATGCCTTTCCAGTTGCCATACATGAATCTGGCGACAAACTAGGGCAACTCCTTACGGTGCTCGGATTCGGAGATGAGGCGGTACCAGGAGCGACACACACACTTGCAGCTACACAAGGTGCGGGCGGTGAGGCGGTGGAGGATAAAGACCAAGACATCGTCTATGAGGATGTCTACTTCGTTCCTCTTGTTGGTGGCCTCCTCCTCCATCTTGACTAGGATGTGGTGGAGCGGGGCCGACGATGGAAGCGGCAACGCTGTCGCCTGAATCAGAGTAGGAACACCTGTGAGAATGTGCTCATGAGCTCCTTAATGATCAGATGAAGCTTGATTCGTACTCAGATGAGATAAGAGGGGAATAAAAAGCTAAGAAACATGGATAAGGGAAGTGCGAGAAAGCATTACCCTTGCCTTTGGATCTTGTGGCAGTGAGCTCGAGCGGCCATGGCGATGATGAGTACTAGCCTAGTCATCGGTGGATCTATGCGGGTGTGCCGGTGAGGCATACTAGCATAGCACTAGCTTGTCAGCGGTGAGTGGTGACTTGCACGCCGAAGAGTAGGTGAGGAATAGCAGCACTTGAGGAGGAGACGGATAGGGTGGCGGCTAGGTGGGTAGCGGTCTTTGTAAGCTAATTACAAACGCGCTAAAAATTCTAAAAACAT